CCCTAAAAATCTACCCTATGGTTAAAGAACAATAGCTGACGTGGCCAAGGACTGCATTTCCCAGAATCCCTGAGATGGCAGAGACCATTTACCTACTCTGCAATGGAAAGTGAGTAGATATAGCACAGGCCACTTCCTAGCTAGACCTGGGAGATCCAGGTGTGCGTCCTCCGCATGTCCCTTTCCTGCCAACTGCAACCCAGAGGGTGACAGCAAGCCAGTTTTGACCATGCAGACCACAGCAACAGCCTAGAGCAGTGTTTCTCAAATTTCACTGTGCACACGAATCCTCTGAGGATCTCAAAACACAGATACAGATGCAGCAGGGCAAAGCCTGAGAGTCTACATCTCTAATAAGCATCCAGGTGATGCCAGTGTTGTTGTCTACAGACTACACTAAAAAAGATAAAACCCTACAACAGCGGTTCTCAACCTGTGGGTTGCGACCCCTTTGGGGGGGGGTGTCAAACAACCCTTTCACAGGGGTCGCCTGATTCATAACAGTAGCAAAATGACAGTGATGAAGTCGCAACGAAAATAATTTTATGGTTGGGGGGGGTCACCACCACATGAGGAGCTGTATGAAAGGGTCGCAGCGTTAGCAAGGTTGAGAACCACTGCTCTGAAAGATGCCACTGCTAGCCCCAGGCCCTGTGTGATTTTGTGGAAACAATCCCCTACCCAGGAACCCTGGTGGCTTTGTGGGCAGCGATCCGTCAGGTAACAGTTTGAAACTACCAGCTGCTCCGAGGGAGAACGCCGGGGCTTCCTGCGCCTGTAAAGAGTTCCAGTCTCAGAAACCCACGGGGGCAGTTCTACCCTGTCTTACAGGGTCACAATGAGTCAGCATCAACGCAATGGTAGTGGGTTTGGTTTGTATTTGATCCCCTACCCACAATGAGAGAAAACAAACAACTTTGAGTCATTGCATTTTCTGGTCTCTGGCAGCAGTTCAGGTTCCGCTGGAACACAGGTGAGTACAGCCTTCTAGTAGTGATGCTGGAAATCACTTTCCCTAGGAAAGGCTGAGGGTGCTGCTCCACTCACGGGCTCAGAGCCCGAAGGGTTGCTCTTAAGAGGCCTGGACCCACTCTGCCTGCCGATGCTTTAGCCTGCTGCGGTCAGTCTGTTTTCTCTCTGCAACTTTTTCCTTTTTGGTCAAAGCTTTCAGCTAGTGGTGTGCTATTTCATGATCTGTCTTGGTGTGGGCTCTTCTCCTCCGTCACATTGGGCACTTGATGGGCCTTTTTAATCTGGAAACCAAAATCCATCCATTCTTGGAAAGATGCATGAATAATGTGTTCTTTCTGCGTAACTTTTTACTCTGAACCAAGTGGTTTTAGGTGATCCTTCTCCCCCGTCTTCACTGTTCGCTCCTAGAGTGAAGCCTCCTGGACTGGTTTTTCCCCCTATATGCCATCTTTCTCGTTCGCCTTATTTGCTAAGAACGTTCTCAATTGTTCTTCTAACCTTTCTGCCGGGCTTTTCGTTCCTGCCCTCCTGGTTCCATTTTCCAAGTGTGCTTCTTCCCATTCAATCCCTGTGTTCTAGCTCTTCTCGAAGAGCTTCCGGTGTTTTGTTTCGGAAGTTTTACTCTGTATCAGTGGTTCTCAACCTTCCTCACATGCCACGACCCTTTAACACAGTTTCTCATGTGGCCGTGACACCCCCCCCTCAACCATAACACTATTTTCGTTGCTATTTCATAACTGTCATTTTGCTACTGTTATGAATCAGGCAACCCTGGTGAAAGGGTCGTTGGACCCCCAAAGGGTTGAGAACTGCTGATCTATATTGTTTGCTTTTTAACAACCCATTGATGTCAATCCTATGGGACAGAATAGAACTGTCACATCAGGTTTCCAAGGCCCTGGTGGTGTAGTGGTTCTATGCAGGGCTGTGAGCCACATGGTGGGCAGTTCAAATCCACCAGCAGCTCTGCAGGAGAAAGAATGGGCTTTTCGTACTCAAATTTTGCTGTGCGGTTACAGTCTCGGATACTTACAGGGGGTCGCTCCGAGTCAGCACTGACTCGGTGACAGTGAGTTAGTTTGTTCTTCATCTTCACAGAGGCAGACTGCCACAACTATCTACTGTAGGGGAGCTGCTGGGTTTGTCTAAGGTTAAGTCCCTCTTCGCCCCACTTCACCCACCACCCACATTGATTCTAGCCCCTGTATCATAAGGTTTCTTCGGTTGTCTTTTGCTGTCTGTGAGGCACACAATTTGTATTTTGCAGCTACGGGTTTCAGAATGAGATGATTGGTTTTGTTAGAGAAACCCTAATGCCATTATCCTTGGGTCTTTCCTATTGACTAATCAAATTCTCTCCTAAACAGTCTTCCAGTCTCCTGGAAAAGTATAAGCATGGTTACCACAATTCTTTTTTTAATTTAAAAAAAAAATTTATTGTGTATTAAATGAAGGTTTACAGAGCAGAACGTCAGTGGTTTTTTTTTTGAACATCAGTTTTACTTTCAAGAATTCACAAACATTTTGTTTCAACTCACCCCTTACAATCTCTTCAATGTACTATCTCTTATCCTCTCTTTCCTGTTTCTGTTCCTCCTTCTACCTGAACCCTCTGAACTTTGTGTTGGGTAAATGCTGCCCTTTCGATCTTAAATGGTTGATTATTCAACCACAGAGTGAGTTCAGTTCCTGGCCTGAAGGGAGATTAGGAGCTATGGTCTGGGGGTCCCACCTGTTGCCAGAGGTCTTGAAACCATCACTCAGTAAACAAACTTTCACTTAATTTCTACTTTCAATAAAATACTGCAGTGAATGACTCATGGGTCTTCTAGCAATGTCTTTGTAATTTTGAAATCAAATGACTGGGTAGAGCTATGCAAATGTGAGGTGCTTGTGGGCCACCAAGGGAATCAGATAGCTTGCTAATAATGTAAATATGGTATTTGGCACTCTTGTGGTGGGGTCATGCAAATAAGGTACCTGGAACCCAAATGTAAGGAATGATCAGGTTTGCTATCCTGCTAGGTTTAAAATTAGTCAACCCAGGGACAATAAGAAATCCCAGTGCCATCAAGAAAGAAGAGCCAGGAATGGAGTATGTCTTTGGGACCTGAGAGCCCTGCAGTGATCTTCCTCAATGCAAGACAGAATTATAACAACGAAAAAGGTGAGAGAGTGAGAAGCAGAGGAGAAACAGCAGCAGCAGCAGAACCAGGAGACTGACAGGAGACAGAAGAGTGGGCTTCCAGCCCATGGAATAAGAAAGTTGAGTGCCTTTGAGCCGGAGACTTCCTGACAGAGTAGGGTGTCTCAGAGCACTTATTGGGGAGCTAGGTTTGCTGACTCATGTAGCTACAGTTGAACACCTTCAAGAAGATTCTTACTGGAGGAGTGTGGTACCTCTGGGCACTAGATCAGCAGAACTAAAAGACCTTTGTTAACAGAGACGAAGCTGGGAAGAATCTGTCTTGATTAAAGAATTGTATCCTGAGTTGTCTCTGGTCCTGAGATGTAACCTCCCATTTGCTTAAGAACCCCATAACCTTGAGCACGGTCTGTGACTTCTGTGTGGACACTGCAATGAAACCCAGCAGTGAAACAGAGTACTGCGGAAGGTATGGCTGGGGTTGGAATCTGTACGACGACGGTTGGAGGGTATAAGCATGTCTGCCTTCTGTCTCAAGTGAAATCAGCTTTGGGTGAGTAACGGAAAACGGCTTTTATTTTCCTCCCCCTCATTCTGAAGTTAGAGGACGTCAGATGCCACCTCTATACACCATTGTCACAAATCCCGTAGCAGTCAACTTGGGCCAAGTATCTTCAAGCCAAAGACCTTCTGTTTGACACCCCCAACAAAGAAACCTTCAGTATTCTGAGGAGTGAAGGGTGAGTCACTACACAGATATAAAATGTCAAGGAAGAGAGCTGAAGGTATAACCACTTCAAATCATGCTAATTTTCTTACCATCTTCTCCCAGGACGTATGTGATACCACTAACTTAAGGATAAATTACGTTGCTGTCGGCTTTCGTCACTGCTCCATTCGTGATGAAATCTGCTAACGCTATTACCACTTATCTATTCTCTGCTTCTGTGCAAAGTGTTGCTAGTTCCTCTCTCTTAAAAAAAAAAAAAAATATATATATATATATATCTTTATTGTCATTTTATTGGGATTTAGAGACAAATTAAATGCTGGCTCCATCAAACTGAATGGAAAACTCTCCCTTCAGGTTAGCCCAGCGCAAACCAGCTTTATTCTTGACCATCTTATATAAGCTGTCAACAGTGCTCTTTCAAAAAACTTAAGTGCACTCATAACACATTTCTTAAAAGATTTCCAAGATTCTTAAGTGCCTTCAGAAGACAAACAGAATTAGCTTGCAAGTTTTTTCCCCGACCTGTATAACCCTCTAGCCTCATCACTGTCTCACCTAGCCACCAGCATGCCCACTCACTCAAGTCCAACTGGACACTTGGTTATACAAACGAGCTCGGACCACTGTCCTGTCGGTACCGTTGTCCACTCCAACCTCTCATCCGCCTAGCAGTGCTTTCTCTGACAACCCCTTTTCTGAACAATGATGGGTCCTTCCCGTTTGCTCCTAGCCCTACACTCTAGGCAGGTCTCTATGAAAGCATCTATTTCACTGTCACGTGAGAGACTCGTTCCACAGAGCCCAGCACACAATAAGCAATCAGACAAATGGAAGGCTGATAAGAGATGGCATGTGAAGATATTGATAACTTTTTCATGGTGGGCTCACGATCAGAGAAAAGCGTCGCGGTGAGTAAATGCCAGCACTCACCACGTGATACTTTCCCTGGGCCTCCACTATGGTAAGAGCTGGTGACTGTCCAGCCTAGAGGAATAAAGACCCCAAGGTTCCCACCACCATCATCATCAAATACCCAACAGAGGCTTACTCAATGCCTGCGGAAGAAATTACTTATAGAACACTAGTCTGTGTCGTAAAGGTAGACAGGCCTGAAGGGCTTCCAGCAGAGGCGTCGATACCGCAACTCACCGCAAGGGTTGTCCGAAGCCGGAAGCGCAGACCTGACTAAGAGCAGGAGGCTCTGGGAGTTGTAGTTCACCAGGTGACTCGAGAAAAGGAAGACTGCGCCAGGCATCCTGGGAATTGTAGTACCAGCGAGCGAGCACTCTGCGCAGGCGCAGTCGGCGGCCACTTCCGGACTCCAGCGTCGCATTTCGTAAAAGGAGAAAGTCCTCCAGAGGAGGATCCTAAAGGGATAATGGCTACCTACAGCCTGGCGAACGAGCGATTACGCGCCCTGGAAGACATCGAGCGGGAAATAGGCGCCATACTTCAAAATGCAGGTTCGGGAGGCGGGTTCCGAACGGACCTCAGAAAAGCGCGAGCGAGCCCGAGCGGCTCGCGCGTGGCGCCGACTGGAGGCTGGGAGTGTGATGGGGAGGGACCCGAAGATGCTGCTAGGCGCAAGTTTGCGGGGTGGAGATGGATGATTGGTCTCTCGGTGGGGCCGTCCGTCACCAGTAGCCACGCCCTTTCTTCTCCCGCAGGTAACGTGATCCTCGAACTGTCCAAGGAAAAAACGAATGAAAGACTTCTGGACCGGCAGGCGGCAGCCTTCACAGCTTCAGTGCAACACGTGGAGGCGGAGTTGTCTGCTCAGATCCGCTACCTCACCCAGGTACGGTGTGTGGCGGGAGGTGCTTTGAGCAAGCCCTGCCTCTTTCCAATAACCCTCAGAGTCAAGAGGCGGAGTTTGGGCCTTCCAAGCTGGTTCCACCCCCAAACGGGCTGGATGACACAGCTATGCGCCTCCTTCCCAGGACTGGTTTCTTCCTTTACAAGGAGAAGCTTGGAGGGGCGAGCCTGCCTCGCTAGAAGCAGCGTTGAGTCACCAGATGGGGAAGTTCCCCGGGAGTGGGTGTGTGGACAATGGCCAAGGCTTCGATGCCTATCTTAACCAAAGGGACAGGATTGCGAAGGTTCGGAAGTGATTACAACAGTCCCTACCACTTCCCAACAGTGGGCCAGACACTTATCTTGCGTTATCCTACATCATCCTGCAACTCCTTGTGGTTGTTAGCTCCCTTTGAGGTCAGTGGTGCCGAGAACTGTTTAAGAGTTTTCAAAGCAAAAAAAAAAAAAGAGTTTTCAAAGCAATCAGCAGATAACCAGAGAGATGCCTTCCAGAGAGCCTCAGGGTGGACCCAAACCGCCAACCTTGAAGACCACCACCCAAGCAGGCCACAACAGCTGTTAAGTGCTGTCAAGTTGATTTCTGACTCAACAATCCTATGTGACAGAGTCGAATTGCACCATAGGATTTTCCGGACCCATCGTTGCTAGAATGATCCGCAGGTCCTTCTCCCAGAGAGTCATGGGCGGTGGGGTGGAGGGGGTATCTAAAAAGCTGGCAGCCAAGAACTTAACCTTCATTTTTTAAAAAAAAGTGTTGTGTTTGTTTTTTTTAACTTCATGCCACAAGGTCTCCATACAATTCAAGGAAGTAATGATTATCACCCCTATTTTACTGATGAGGTTAACAGAAATCATCTGCCCTAAGTCACCTAAGGGCATCACTAGGATTCCAACTCAGGGGGAGAAAACGAGAAGAGACCACTCAATGCCTGGCAGAGGCGGGTGTAGGTAAGGTAGGGGCTATTGCTGAATCTGCCTGTCTCTCCTGTAGGTGGCCACCGGGCAGCCCCACGAGGGCTCTAGTTATTCTTCCAGGAAGGATTGTCAGATGGCCCTGAAGCGAGTGGACTACGCCCGCCTCAAGCTCAGTGATGTGGCCCGCACCTGTGAGCAGATGCTAGAAAACTAGACAAAGCAGGTGAAGCAAAGCTTGGAGGGAGACCACCACCGACATCCAGGGCAGAACCTGGAAAACTGGCAGGGATGGGGAGTAGACGGACGCATACGTGCCCGCTGGTTAGGATGTACTAGGACAAAGGGGCAAACGGGGAGCAAACCTGGCCACCACCACTGCACTCGGGCTCCTCCAGCGAAGAGCCCCAGCACTGCATTCCACAGAACTGCCACCAGCAAGCTCAGACAGCAGATGGAGATCCAGACTCCCGGCCCACTTCCTCAGACTCTTCGTGCCCTTGTCCTAGGCTTCCCACACACTTGGCCCAGAGCAGTCATGCTCTTCTGGGTTGGGAAAAACAAGAACTGAGGTTTTAATAATAAAAGCGATAAAAAAACTAAAAGGTCGAGTCTTGTTGAGACGTGCAAGTGATTATGGAAGTGAAACATGCCTCGATGATGTCAGCAGCCGAGAGCTGAGGGAAGGGAAAGCGAGTGGGGAAATCTAGGCTTTTGCCATAGTGCTCAAGAGGGGACAGGACTCAGGTTTGGGAGATGGGGGGTGGGGGTGACAGTGTAGTGGTGTAGTATGAGGAGAGATTTGGAACAAGAGGGAATCACCAACAAAGACACCTATGCCAGGAGTCAGGGGAGAAGGCCCAGGTCCTGAAGCCAATGTCTACAGAAAGAGGTCTTCATTACAAAATGAATTTTTAGTAGTTAGAAAATAACATGGAATTTGGCAAAGATCTCATTCCAGTCATCAAATACTTTATTCACTTCAGAAGACTCCTCAGACAAGTGTCTAGTTCAGGCTATAGAGTCTGCTGCCACCGGTCTGTAATGGAGCTGCAAATCTGGAAGACATAAGAAGTTGAGGGATAAGCTCTGAGATCAGGGGGGTGGGACAAGATCAGTAGCTTGCACTGGGGAATCAGACACAAGACCTTACTCGATTCTGTGTCTTGAGATACAGAAAACCCAAAGCCTGTAGCCATGCACTTGATGCTGACTCACAGCAACCCTATAGGACAGAGTCAAACTTCCCCCTGGGGCTCCGCAGAGCAGCTGGTGGTTTGGAATTGCTGACCATGCAGTTAGCAGCCCAACGCGTAACCACTCTGCCACCAGGACTCCCAGACGATCTGGTATCCAGGAAACCAAAAGCCCGTTACCATCTTGACCCTGACTCAAGCAACCCTGTGGGACAGAATAGAACTTGCCCAGGAGGTTGCCAAGCTGTCAAGACTTTACAGCAGCACACTGCCACATCTTTCTTCCGTAACACAGCCGGCATATTTGAACTGCAGACCTTTCAGTTGGCAGCCCAGCACCTAATCCATGGGCCGCCGGAGCTCCTGGTACACGATAGGGGCTTCAGACAGAATTGTGAATGGAGTGAACAGCCCTGTCTTCCTCCACTGCTTCATCTCCCACCAGCCTCCTCTCGCTGCCCTTTTCTCCTGGGCCTAGAGGGGCTTCCTTCCTTCTCCACTCTAGTCTCTGCCTGCTTCATCCTCTAAGGCCTAGGGTCCATGGTACAGATGGGTCAGGTCTTCCATCCACCCGGGAGCTACAAGGGCAGGTACCCCCGCGGGAGGTTCAAGACTTCGGGGGAAATGGTGCAGAGGCCCAATTTACCTGGACAGTACTTCCTTGCCTGCTGCCGCTTCCTGTTACACAGTACGTAGAGGAGGACTCCAGTAAGAATGAAGGTGATGAGCAGGAGGGACAGCACTGGCACTAAAGCTGACGTCCCAGCTGCCAGACTCCCAATGCCTTCCAGCTGCTTCTGGTTCTCCCCAGCCACCAGCCCAGCTCCTAGATTGTGGCTCACGGTGAAAGTGGTGGATTCATTGGAGTAGATAAGGCCTCTGTCCAAGGACTGCGCTGCCACCGGAAGGGTGGGCTGCTGGGTGGAAGGCAGGTGTGTCTGGGCAGGGGTTACCAGATGTGAAGGTGCTCCCTCTGTAGGCTCAGGAGCTTGAGTGCTGAGAGAAGGTGGCTGCTTCTGATGGGCTTGACTTGCCAAAAGAGCAAGTCCACATTCTAGAGAGGGGAGAACGGGGGGAATCTGATGTCAGAACACAAGGTGAAGAGGCAAATGGAAGGGTAGTGGGTCAGGGAGAGCATCAAAGGGCCTGGAGAAGAGTGGAAGGGAGGGAGGGTGGATCAGAAAACCATAGAAAAGAATAACCATGAAACAAGAATAAATGTGCCTTTTGAACTAGGAAGTCAGGAGGCCTGGGCTTGAAGTACTTGTTTGCTAGTTTCTTGGAAACTCATTCCTTCCAACTGTAAAGATGATCATTTTAGTACCAAGGTCCAGGGTAGTTGGAGGGAATTAAAAGACATGTCTGTCCCATAGTTTCAAGGGACACCAAGCATAGTCCACAAAAATAATATTTTACATCCTACTTGGGTAAGTAGCAACTGGGGTGTGAAAAGTTCCTTGAGCAGCTACATAAGGGGCAACTACTGGTCTACTCCCATCTGGAGCAAGGAAGAATGACGATAATCAAAAGATATGGAAACATGTAGTCTACCAGACTAATGGGCCAAGCAAACATCTGTCTGCACAACTCTATGACCAGGAGACCTAGATGGTGCCCAGCCACCACCACCAGCTTCCCTGAAAGGGTGACATTTGAACATCTTAGATAAAGTGGAAGAAATATATGGAACAAACCCCCAAATCATGAAAGACCAGATTTAGTGGTCAGAGGCAGTGGGACCTCCAAAACTAAGACCTTTAGTCATCCTTCGAGTCTGGAACTGAGCTCACCCCCATAGTTAGAATAATCAACTAAGATAAAAAAGGCAGCATTTATCCAAGGACAAAGTACCAAGATACAAAAAAGACGGGGGTGGGATAGAAACAGCAAACCCAGGGGGGAAATGGGATAAGTGATGGTACATTGAGGAGATTGTAACGGGTATGGATGAAACGACATGCATGGATTGCTGAACGTAAAATTGATACGCTCTACCAGCCTTCACTTAATTCAAATAAAAAGTTAAGAAAAGTGAGCACACGGAAACAGTCCAATAGACTAGCCTCCTCTATAACCCTGAGACCAGAAGAACTAGATGGTGCCCAGCTACCACTACCAACTCCTCTGAAAGGAATCCCCTTAGAAGGTCCTGGAAAGATCATGAAGAGGTCACTGAAGATATGGGTACTATAGCAAAATATGGTGAAGAAACTAGATGGTGCCCAGCTATCAGAATAGCGTCTGGGGTCTTAACAGGCTTGTCTTCACACGAGCGGTCATCTAAGTGAGGCATCAACTAAATAAGTCCACATGAAAGCATATCAGCCTGTGGGAACCAAGGATAATAATAAAATCCAAATCCTGCCAGAAGAAACCACTCCTAGCACAATCACTACGGGTTCGGTAGGCGCAATTGTACAGCGATTATAAGTAAATATTATAGTAAAGTTATAGAGAGCATGAGAGATAGAAGAGATATATAGAAATAAATGGAGTTAGACACATTTCATGGTAGCATTGCTCACCTCAGTCCCGCTTGGTGGTCCACGTGGAGGGAGGGGGAAGGGAAGGAGGGCAAGGGAATAAGGGAGAGAGGAGAAGAGAGGGGAGTGACCAGGGAGTGAGCAGCAAGGAGAGCGTCTCTTTTGCTGACCCACACCTATATCCCTTTTGGGGGCATGCCAGCCCACTAATTACAGGTAGTGACATACATCACAGGGAGGGGCTGCACTATAGGCTACACAGCAATGAGAGGGTGGTCTAGGAGGTGGTCTCTGGGTCTCCATAGGAACCATTATCAGTAAGGTGGAAACTCCGCCTACAGGAGCCCGTCCATTGTCCCCAGAGGCAGGGAGCAGGCCCACCCCTGTGGTGGGATGAGACAGCAGTCTGGCAACTGATTGCCTTCAGGGGAGGGAATGCCTGCGCATCTGACCTCCTCCCACAAAATCCAAAGGAGGGAATGGTATCAAAGCTTAAATTGCGAACACCTGGCTTACAGGAGGCTATGGATGACCATGGAAACCCAAAATCCATTTGCAGGGTCTACACAGAGATTAAGCCTCTGGTGAATACCCTCTGTCTATAATCAGGGGATATGAATAGCTTTGTTATCAGACCAAGAGCATGGTAAAGTCAATTATGGCTGATGTAGTTAGGTTAAAATGGATCATTTGACCCATCTTAAGTTGTTTCAGTTAAAAAAAAAAAAGGTGAAGAAGCAACACATGTGGATTAAGCTTCTGGTGAATCCTCTCTGACCATAGACCAGAGATCATGCAGCGTACAATGGAAAGTAGATTAGTGCAGATGCAGTTAGATTAAAATTTAACACCTTATCATTTGATCTCCTTCTGACCCATTTTAAAGTTGTTCTGGTTTTTAATGTTTTCTGATTTCTTTTTGACTGAGTCTTTTCTCTTGTTTTACTGAGTTATTGTTATGAGTTTTGTTTATATTGCATGTTTTCCTGTATATGAAATCCAGGATAGGCAATCTGTAGAGATAGTAGCTGAATGCATGGTTTCTTGCAGGTATGGCAGGGAAGGTTGGGGGGAAATGAGGAGCTAATAACAATGTAAGAAAGAAGAAAATTCTCTAAAGTTGATTGTGGTTGATGATTATACAACCTTTCTTAATATGACTGAACTGTTGAATTATATGATGTGTGAATTATATGTCAATAAAACTGGTTTGTTTGTTTTTTAAAAAAAGGTCCTGAAAAGAATGGAAGAAAAATGCAGAACAAAAAATTTTAAAATCACAAAAAATCTTAAAAACGGTCAGGCTCGCTGGTTAGATAGAGACCGGCAGAACCTTCAAGACTTATGGCCCTTCGTCCTCTTTCTGTCTGGACCTGAACTCACCCCAGTGGCTCAGTTAATTGCCCATCAAATAGTAGACCCAGTTATAAGACAAACAGTAACCCCCGGGAAGTGTGCACATCTTAGAATAATCAGCCATTTGAGATCAAGAGGACAAATGTACCCCAAGACAAGCTGTCGAAAGTCAGACTGAGGATCTGCTCTGTAAATCTCCATCTAGTTCACAGTGAAAGTTCAGAGAGGCAAAAGAAAAGGGTCTGGGTCATGCAAAGGAGCCCTGGTGTCGCAATGGGCTAAGTGTTGGGCTGCTAACCGCTAGGTCAGACCTTCAAACTTGCCAGCCACTCGATGGGAGAAAGCAGGCAGGTCTGCTCTCGTAAGATTTGCCGGCTCAGAAAACGATGGAGTGCTTCTAGTCTGTCCTTCCGGGTCCCTACGAGTCTGAATTGACTCTGGCAGTGGATGCCATCCAAATGCCAGTAGTATCTTCACCCACTGCTGCTAGGAGGCTAAGTGGGACCTGAAAGAACATTTTCTATTTCAATGGCTGCGTACTTATTCCAGGAGGAAAATTCCACTGACGCATCAAGTTTGGGATGGCATGCATGTTAATGCTGAGGACAAGGAGGCCTAATGGAGCTGTCAGGGAAGTTAGAGCCCATCACCATGCCATGAGAGAAAGATGAGGCTGCCTGCTCCCGTAAACGCACCTGCTCACATTGACAAAACCTCCGAAATCTTAGCGGTCATCACTGAATCGGAATCAGCTCGATAACATAGGTAATGCGATTACGTTGCTACTTGAGTTTTTCCCATGTAACGTGTGTATACTTTGCGTGTACATTTAACAAGCGCTCACCTCGTTGCCTGTAAATTTTACCTTAAAAGAAAAAAAGGAATCCTACGGTATTGACCTTTACTTCGCAATACACATGCTGAAGTGTCTGGGTAGCAGCCATTGTGATGTCCTCAACTAATTTTGAAATAACAGATGGCGCTCTTTCCCTGTCCCAGCCGAGCTGTGCATAGGCGGAGGCTCCGGTGTGGTCAAGATTCGGTCCCACCCGTAACCTACCACCGTGGAGGGCATTACTACCCGAGTTATCATGGACATTAACACTGCTTTACAGGAGGTGCTGAAGACCACCCTCATCCACGATGGCCTAGCACGTGGAATTCGAGAAGCTGCCAAAGCCTTAGACAAGCACCAAGCTCCTCGTTGTGTGCTTGCATGCACCTGTGATGAGCCTGTGGGTGTCCAGTGAGTGAGTGGAGGCCCTGTGTACTCAACACCACATCGACCTCATGAAGGTGGATGACCACAAGAAATGAGGAGAGTCGGTGGCCTCTGCAAAATTAAGTGGCTGGTTGCAGTTGTGTGGTTGTTAAGGACGATGGCAAAGAATCTCAAGCCAAGGATGTTATTGAAGAATACCTTAAATGCAAAAAAACGAGCAAGTCAAACTTGACTAATTGTTTTTTTAAATAGATGGCTTGATGATGAGTAGAGGAATGGAGAGACAGGTGGAGGTCTAAGGGAACAAGTTTAGCAAATTGTTCATGGTAGGACCTAGGTGGTGAATGTAGATGCGCACCGTGCAAGTCCATTTTTTTATGCGTCAAAGTGTTTATCATAAAATGTCAGGAGACAAATAGTAAATAAACAGTAGCACTAGTGGTCAGAGAGACTGGAAAATGTACGTAGGTCAGACTCAAAGCTAATGAGCAAAGTCTACCCAACAAGAACTGAGCGAAAGTCCTCGGACTAACTTTAGAATGGGAGGTGTGGCAAGAGCAGAAGAGGGATTCAGAGAACCTTGTGAGTTGCCTAAGCCCCGAAGGCAAAACCTGAGGAAGAAGGCAGAAACTGCTGACCTTTGTTATCCAAGCAGCTCATCACCTCTCGAACCCACTGTTGGACATTTCCCCCACACACGGTCCTGGAATGTAGTCGGAACCTACAAGAAAAAAGCACCTGCTATCTTTCTGATGGCTTTTTTTCTGCCCAGTTCCTTCCTCATTCCAATGACTTGAAGTCACCGCCAAGAAAGCCACTGATTCAGAAACTGGGAAATCCCAGGCAGGTGGACAGGAAGAAAACAGACTGGGGTGAAGTTTAGCTCCAGAGCTGGGTCTGTTGATACATCTGGCTTTGACCTCCAAGATTCCTAGAGGCGCTCGTTCCAGGGACAGGCGATTACCTGACATAGGCTGGGCAGCGCTGGTAATCCCTCACGTATTTTCGGATATGTGCCTTCTTTGCCGGGGACAAGTCAGAAAGTAAATCATCACAGTAGCAGCTTCCACTGATGCTGCCCTCGTTCCCATTGCCTGAGCCAAGAGAAGAGGTCAGCACTGGTCACCAGGCCCAGGGACTCCCAACTGTTACTTAGTGTCCAGTCCACTGCCCAGTTGCCACCTGTCCCATAGGCTCCCGGGGCTCAACACATCCCAAAACCCCATGTACCTACCTGGACCTCAGGCATCGGGCCCTGCCCCTGCTGCTTTGGCGATCCTAAGCGCACCCAACCTCACTGGTCTAGTGTCCCCAGACACCCGCCACATTCAACATTCCTTTCCCAGGGCTCTGCCCCCAGCCGGACCCCTGACGAACCTGGCAAAGGCAGCTGCATTAGCAGGAGTAGCGGGAGAACCCGGGACCCGGGTCCCCAGTCCCGCCACATCGTTTGGGGGACGCACCGTCTGACTCCCCGATCCCCAAGGCTCGCTCTCTCTCTCGTCTCGGGACTGAGGAATGGCGCGATGTCGCGGTCCCGTCTGAGCAGATGTGGGGTCAGTACCACGGGAGTGGGGGAACCCCCCGGGGAGGCGGAGCGCCCGGCTCTCGGTACCGCGCCGGCCCGGAGCCTTCGCTGAGTGCCAGCTGAGAAAGTCTGAAAGCGAAAGGAAACAGGTATGAAGGTGCGGCCCGCCAGCTAGGCAGATTCCGTTCAGGGGTCCCCCTCGGCACACCTGCCCCAAGCCTGCCAGCCAGAGCTGTGAAGTGGGGGAGAGGCTGAAGGCAACCCCTCCCCACACTTTCACTTCCCAGCTCCGCTGCTGCCCACTGCGGGATGGTCACATGGTCACGGCGGGTGGCCAGCAGGGGCGTGGCCGGGCGGGGGGGCTCGGGCCGACCCTGACGTCACGACTGCCACCCCGTGGTATTTACCTTCGAAAAGTGGTGGCGGCTGCAGGTACCGGAGCAGTGGAGCGGGCGGCCGGGAGGGGGTAGCTCTCTTCCGTCGCAGCGTCCCGTCCCGTCGCCACACTGAGCCTAGCTGAAGGGGTGCCCCGCCCCATTCCCACCTCCCACTCTTTCCTCCCGAAAAACCCCAGTCTTCAAGTCCATTCCCACTCGGAGCGACCAGCCCAAATTCTTCCCTCCCAGACAGACTCTTGTCTAGAGGGTTAGCCACGCCCCCGCCGCACCCCCGCACCCCCCCCTTCTCCATTATTCATTCACACCCTACTTTTGAGAATTTGAGTTCTCAAATTTTGGGCCCCAAAAGTTAGAGCCCCCAAGGCTCATCCTCAACTTCATTCTATGTTCACACTTCACCCCTTTTCTGGGCCCTGAACCCCTATCCCCAGCCCTGAAAATCCTATTCTGAGTTCCAACCCTGATCCACAGGAGCCCTGGTGGTGTAGTGGTTACCCAATAGGCTGCTAACCCCTAAGGTCAACAGTTCAAAACCACCAGCTGCTCCACTGGAGAAAGACAAGACCTCCTGTAAAGAGTTACAGTCTCAGAAACCCACAGGGGTGGTTTTCCACCCTGCCCTATAGGGTCGCTATGAGTTGGAATTGACTCAATGGCAATAAGTTTGGATTGGGGGGGGGGGCACTCACCCACAGATTCTTCCCCAAGCAGCTCTTAAACCCACCCCACCCCATTAAGCAGCCCCATACCCTCTCACCACTACCCCCTCACCTCCTATCCCTCTTCCTCTGCTCACTGTGCCCCAGAAGACATGGAGTTTGTGTCTGGATACCGGGACGAGTTCCTCGATTTTGCCGCCCTCCTCTTCGGCTGGTTCCGCAAGTTTGTGACAGAGCGTGGGGCTGGAGGAGCCAGCCTTGAGGGCCGATGGCGACAGCTGGAGGCTCAGATCCGAAGGCTACCCCAAGACCCTGCCCTTTGGGTGCTCCATGTCTTGCCCAACCACAGTGTAGGCATCAGCCTGGGGCAAGGGGCAGAGCCAGGTCCTGGATCTGGCCTGGGGGCGGCCCGGCTCCTAGGAGAGGAGCCCCCACTCCATCTTCGAGACCTGAGCTCCTACGTCAGCTTTGTCAGCCTGGACGGGGAGGAAGAGGAGGAGGAGGAGGACGAAGAACAGGAGGAGAAAGCAGAGGAGGAGGGTGCTGGCCCAGAGAAGGTGGAACCAGAGGAGGATGGGGAGCCAGCCTCCACCAGCAGGGAGTCCCCCCATGAAGTAAACCCTCCAGGGGAACCGGAAGAGGCCGAGCAGGAGGCAAGAGGCAGTGAAGACGCTGGCCCAGAGGACAAGGCGGAGGAGGAAACAGAACCTGAGAAGAAGGGATGGAGAAATGGTATGGCCCCAGGCTCACCCTGCCCCACCTCCTATCCAGCTAAAGTCCTCTCCCACCCCCAGCACCCAGCCAGGAGTCACAAACTAACTGCTTTCCCTACCAAACCCCCAAACCAAGCCCACTGCTAGTGACTCCTTTCCAACTCACAGCGCCTTGTAGAAGCGTCTCCAAAACTGTCAGTCTTTATGGGAGCAGCCAGCCTCATCTCTCTCCTGAGGCGCTGCGTGGGTGTGAACTACTAACCTTGCAGTAAGCAGGCCTACAAACTAATGCAAAGTGCCACCAGGCTCCTTTCGTTGATCCACAGTTTTCTTTGTTTTTAAAAATTAGAGCCAACATTTAAGCATTGAATGAAGGAAAAAAAAATCAGAAATCTGGATTTATACATTCTCAAGATAAATCCAAAGCTCTGACTTTCTGCCATCATGTCAACTCTGACTCATAGTGATCCTACAGACAGAGTAGAATTGCCTGTGTGGGTTTCCGACGCTGTAAATCTTTCCCTGAGCAAAAGGCCTCATTTTTCTCCCTCGAAGCAGATGGTGGATTAGAACTGATGACCTTATGATTAGTAGCCCAACACTACACAACCAGGGCTCCTAAAGTTCCAACAGCAGACCTGTATTTCTAGATGGCAGCCAGTGCTGAAACTACGTAGCTGTTGCCCCTTTCAGTGGGGCATGTACGTAGTCCCTTTGCTCGCATAGGTTACAACTTGCCTAGTCCGTGTAGGCATTTAAATTTGGACCCTGGACTCTGATCATCTTTGCCCCCCACACCCTACAACGTTCCCCTCTTTCCCCAGAGGCTGCCCCCCTGCACCTTTCCTGCCTCTTACTGGTAACAGACGAACATGGCACCATTCTGGGCATTGACCTCCTAATGGATGGAACCCAGGGGAGTACAGGCCGGGGCTCAGGAATGGAGAACCTGGCTCCTCGAGCCTACGCGCTTCTCTGCCACAGCATGACCTGCCCCATGGGGTCCGGAGAGCCCCGGAAGCCCCGACAGCTCACTGTGGGAGACACCCAGCTGCACCGGTACAAAAATTGGACTTTTGAGGGCGGAAGGTCTGGAGGCCTGGCCTGCTGAGCCCCCAGCCTGACACCATCTTCACTCCCGTCCAGAGAGTTGGAGAGCCTGGTCCCAAGGCTGGGAGTGAAGTTAGCCAAGACCCCAATGCGGACATGGGGTCCCCGGCCAGGCTTCACCTTTGCCTCCCTTCGGGCTCGAACCTGCCATGTTTGTCACAAGCACAGTTTTGAAGTGAAACTGACACCCTGGTGAGCCACCCGCAAAGATGGAGTGAGGGGGACAAGGAGCCCAATGGTCAGGCCAACCAAGGGGAAGCCAGCTGGTGGGGGGCCCAGCAGACAGAGGGAGGGGCAGAGGGATAAGACAACAGGATTAAAGGGGGAGGCAAGCTGTTATAGAGTTTACAAGCAGCCCAAGCCCACTGCCATTGAATCAATTTTAACCCATAGTGAGCAGACAGCCTCATCTTTCTTCCCTGGAACAGCTGGTGGGTTTGAATTGCTAACCTTGCAGTAAGCAGCCCAATCAATGCTTAACCCACACCACCAGACCAATTGCCATACAGACAGCTTCAGGGCACACAGGTAACAAAGGACTTAAACTACAAAGACACCGGGTGCCTACTGCTTCGTGTCTCTCAGTCCCCAGTGTAGTGCTGTCTTGTATTGTGGAGAGGCTTGTCTCTTGGCTGACTGGCGGCGATGCCCAGATGATGTGAGCCACCGATTCTGGTGCCCAAGGCTTGCAGCCTTTATGGATCGAGCGGGAGAGTTGGCAACTCTGCCTTTTACCTACACTGCAGGTGCGCGGGAGAGGAGGCAGGGATGGGGCCGGGCGGGGGAGACTGCGACCAGGTCTCTGGGCCTAGGGCCTGGGTCCCTAGGGGTGGAAGAAGTCTGAGTGTTGGGGCCAGAGGTCTAGATCCCTGGGATGAGAACCTGGCCATTGTGTTTGGGGATGGGGGCTAGATCCTTGGTGGTACAGGCTACACACCAGGGTTCAGGGATTCAGGGAGATATAGCGATGCACATGCTCCCTTCTCAGCTCCCTCACTAAGTGGCACTGTGACCTTACACAAATCACTTTCCTTCTCTGAGCCTCCGTTTCCTCAGCTGAAAAATAGGGATACAAACAAAGGCTAAAAACCAACAGAATTGGTGTAGACACTCGGGGATGTTCATTCAATTTAGAACCAAATTCAGACAACCAGGATCTTGGGGGAAGGCTGAGGAGATTGAAAGCCTTGGGTATGAGCCACCAGGCCCTCAATCCTCCCTCCTTCTCCTCCTCCAGAGGTCACCAGTGAAACTTTCAACAAGGAGGCATTCCTGGCCTCTCGGGGCCTCACTCGTGGCTACTGGACCCAGCTCAGCATGCTGATCCCAGGCCCCGGCATGCCCAGCCACCCCAGAGGCAACACGCCATCACTCAGCCTTCTTCTCAATGGTAAGTGGAGTGTCCACTCTCAGGCATGGGCCCTTTAGCCTAGAGGGAAGTTCTTCAGGGCCCAGATAAACACTCTACATGCACCTATCTCTCTCCCCCAGCATCTTCCAGGGCCAATAAAGGCCTTTTCCTGACCCTCAAAGGAGTCACGCCTGCCCACCCCATTTGGAAGTTCCTCCCCAGGCAAACCCCCATTCCTCCTTCCACAGCTCCAGGTGGTCTCAAAGAAGACATGGGGCCTTTGGAAAGAAGAGGGTGATACGCCAGGCAGAGGTCTCACTGATACCACGCCCCCACCCTTCTTTTCATCCTCTCAGGAGATCCCTACCAGCTTCTCCAGGGGGATGGACCTAATTTGATGCCTGCTGTCCCCCCAGAACCACCCAGGAGTCTCTTTGGTGAGTTGGAGGGGCTCAGAGGGACAGAGTCTGGAGGCCCAGAAGCCTGGGTCCCTAAGCAAAAAGGAGCCATTCTTCAAGAGGGGCTGGGTTGGGGGCCTGGGACTAGGTGCCCCAGTAACCCACTCTCCCCAGGCTCGTGGCAGGATTACTACACGTGGCGAGGCCTCAGCCTGGACTCCCCGATGGCTGTGCTTCTCACCTACCCACTGACTGTGTACTACGTCATCACCCACCTGGTGCCCCAGTCCTGTAAGGATAGCCAAGGCTGGGGGAGGAGGGCAGGGGAGGAGGGAACAGAGACAGAAGGGGGGTGGGGTGGCGGAGAGCAGATGCTCACCAAGTTGGCTTCTCACCCAGTCCCTGAGCTCAACATCCAGAACAAGCAGTCTCTGAAGATCCACGTGGTAGAGGCGGGGCAGGAGTTTGATCTTGTCATGGTGTTCTGGGTATGTTAGACCACCGGCAGAGGCGGGGCATGTGGGTGGGGGTGAGGGGAGGTGGACACGCCGTGGAAACCTGGTCTGCCCTCTTCTCTGTGCTTCAGGAGCTTCTGGTGCTGCTTCCCCATGTGGCCCTGGAACTGCAGTTTGTGGGTGATGACCTGGCCCCCGAAAATGACCAACAGCATTATACCCTGCAGAGGGTGAGGGCTCAGGGGGGCCCTGCTCTTCAGTCCTGACCTCCCTGATCTCCCCCCTCCTTTACCCACCCCATTCCTCACCTGATGCACCCTGCACTGCCCTGACTGCCAGGGGCTCCCCCAACCTATTCCTCACACCCTCCCACTCCCCACCCAGGATGGTCCTGAGGTATCTGTGCGCAATGGTTCTGGCCTATCAGCAAGGCTCGGTTCTGGGACCAAAGAGAAAGGGGTGCGCAGGGACCTGCAGATTAAGGTGTCAGCCAGGCCCTACCATCTGCTTCAGGGACCCAAGCCCGACCTGGTTATCGGTGAGAACCTGAAACCCCAGGCCCCAGGGGCAGGTGGGAAAGGTTGGGGAGAAGTCGACCACGGGAGCCAAGTTCTCCCTGCTCTTTCTTCTCCTGCAGGATTTAACTCTGGCTTTGGGCTCAAGGACACTTGGCTGAGCTCTCTGCCCCGGTTACAGGTGGGGGCTGGGGGCTAGGAGGAACCTCTGCTATTCCCTGCCCAGGCAGCCTCTGCCCCTCCGGGGCCCCTAGGATCCCCTCTCCTCTTGCCCATCAGACCTGGGGGGCGGGCCTAGGTACCCCTGCCTTCTGGGTCTGTCTTGTGCCCCGCCCCTACGCGGATGTGTTCTAGGGCCTCCGTGTCCAACCCTTATCAACCACCCTGGTTGCCTGGGAGGTCCTTGCGGGGAGGAGCCTCACAGAGCTGCTCTGAGGCCCCGCCCCATCCCCAGTCCCTCCGCGTGCCGGCCTTCTTCACCGAGAGCAGCGAGTACGGCTGTGTGATGGACGACCAGACCATGGCGGTGGCCACCGGAGGGGGCACCAGCCCTCCGCAGCCCAACCCCTTCCGCTCCCCTTTTCGTCTCAGAGCGGCTGACAACTGCATGCCCTGGTGAGGGCCCGAGACCCTTCCCGCCTCCCTCCCCAGCCTGAGCCTCTCCTCCTCGGCGTCCTGGAGGGTCCCTGCCCGTGGGACACTCTTCCCATCCCGACCACCTGGCGTCTCCCCCTCCAACGCTGCCCTCGACGGCTCCAGCCTCAGAATCCTCGCCCCCTGCCCAGAATGGACCCTGCTCCGGGCAGAGCGGACGCTGCAAGCCCCGCCTCTGACCACGCCCACGCCCCGCCCCGCCCCCAGGTACTGCAACGCCTTCATCTTCCACCTGGTCTACAAGCCCACGCACGGCAGCGGGGCCCGCCCGGCGCCCGGCCCCGCGCCCCGCGCCCCGACGCCCGCTGCTCCGTCCGCCCCCGCGCGAAGGCGCCGTGGAGAGAAGAAGTCCGGGCGGGGGGCCCGCCGGCGGAAGTGAGGGCTGCGGAGGCAGCCTGGCCGCCCCGCACCCCAATCATCCCCACCCCCCCACCCCCGGGAAGACAAAACGGAAAAGCCCAAGGCAGAGGGGGAGGACTGGTTGGTGGAATCTGAAAAGGTAAATAAATGAAATAACTTGTTCGAAGTCACGGCATCGTTGACCTTTTGATTTTTGTTGCCATTTGTAACTGCCCGGCAGTCACTTCTGACTCGGGAAGACCCGGGTTTCGAGCTCCCAAGGCCGGGCCTTTGGAGGCAGGGCCCAAGGCCTGTCTTCTGACGCTAAATAGCCTAGCGCCAACCGGGGATAGCCACACGCTTACAGTTGGCACCCAGGATCCTCCAAACCCAGAGGTGATGAGAGGGAGAGAAAGACATAGGGATGATTGGCTATCTCCCTCAGTCCCTGGGTGGTCCAAGTGGCTAATGGGTTCACCCAGAGGCACCTTAGAAGATGGGCCTGACCATTTCTACAATTCCAAAAGCTCACTGCACTGAGTCACTTCCAAGTCACAGCAACCCTATCAGGACAGGATGGAGAACTGCCCTGGTGGGCGCCCAAGACTGTAACTCGTCCTCCCTCGGAGCCACTGGTGACCTCCAACTGCAGTCCAACAGGTAACCCACTAGGCCCTCAGGGCCCCTCCCTGGTACTCTACTAACCCCAACCTTAGCCATTGACAGCCCTCTGGAACACAGTTCTATTTCGTCAGGCCCTTTGCTTCCTTGTGACATTGATGCCTACTCCTGCCTCGCCCCACTTCTGTGTTGGTGTGCCATTGGCCCGTCCCAGGAACCTTGAGGAAACCACCCCAAGAATAGAAGCAGAAAGCAGCTTCTCACTAAGGTGGCAGAAATATCTCCCACAACCTCCTAGGGCAACCCCTCCCCGCCCCCCAAACACACACACACTTTGCTTCAGTGAAACCCCAGACACCCAAGTGGGCGAGTTAAAAACGTGACCATTGTCATCCTTGATCCCACCAGCCCTCATTCCTCTTCTCCAGCGATAAATAATCATTATTTTTTAAATCACTTTACCGGGGGCTCTTATACCGCTTATAACATTCCATACATCAACTGTATCAAGTATATTTGTACATATGTTGTCATCATCATTTTCTAAACATTTACTGTCTATTTGAGTCCTTGGTATCAACTCCTCTTTTTTCCCTTCCTTCCCCCCCATCAAATAATTCTTGCTAAGTTGATGACACACACCCCCAAATCACTTATATCCCTCTGCTTATCTCCAGTTCCACTGAAAACTAAACTGTATCTTGTCCCCATATTGCAGCCAGCAAATTCCTTCTAAAACACATTGAAACACATTCCTTTTGGATGCATTTAAGCGTATTACTGTTTACCTCTCTTTAACTACTTCCTGCGGCACTTAAAATCCTTCAGAGTGTGGCTTGGACTTAGGGAATACAGAGAAAGGAAAACATAGTGGAGAGAACTTACAAGCACAACCTTCCTTAACCAAGTGACCCAGGTTAATAATAAGTTGTACAGACATCCCGTGCCACCTGACATGATGTGATCCGAAGGCCACATCACCTCTGTGCTACTCGTCCCCAAGATCCATGGGAAAGCATCAGACAAGTCCAAATTATGAGACAGTCTACACAACACCTGGCAAGTATTCTTCAACAGTGTCAAAGTTATAAAAGACCAATCAGAACCAAGAAACTCACAGATTGGAAGAGACTGGAGACAGGGCAGTGAACTGTGATATGTTACCCTGCACTGGGACAGAACCACTAGAGACGTCCTAATAAAGCTCCTGGTTGAGCTCATTGTCTTGTAGCAATGCCAGTTTACACTGGAGCTTCAAGAAGCTCACAGCAAAATGGAATTGAAAGACAATGGAATTTCCACACACCCTTTTGGAACATTCCCCCCCCCTATATAAACTAACATTTGCAGGAAGGTGGGTCAAGAGTACATAGGAACACTCGACTCTCTGCACCTCATCGGTAAATCTGAAATTATTTCAAAGCAAAAATTCTTCACAAATCAAATTCAGACTCCTTATGATGGCATCTGTCATTCTACTTTATTCTAATCATTTTATTACCTAAACTTTCAAATATACGCACAAGTCCACAGACTTAGGATAATGAATCTCTATATCACCCAGCTTTGAAAATTGTCGGTATTATGTCCACTTTATTACTCCCTCCCCCACAGAGTCCCCAGAGTATTTAAAAACACCCTCCTGGAACCTCAAGTCATCTCACTGATAGGCATCTAAAAAGGATTTTTTTTAAATGTCACCACCAGGTCATTACGCAATAAAAAAAATAATTCCTCAATACCTTATAATACCCAGCTCAAGAAACTGTGGCACATACACACAATGCATAACTATGCATAGCTAAAAACCAGCAATGATGAAACCACGAAGCACTTCTGGACATGAAAAGACCTACAGAACATGATGCTGAGGGAAGCCAGTCCATCACGAAAGGACAGGTGTGGTGTGAAGCCACTAACTACTTCACGGATAAAAACCAAGACAAGGACTGGCCTACCAAAGGGAACAGACTTTGGAGGGTCCCAAAGGAGGTGGGGCAATGTAGAAGGGAGTAGAGATGCATAAGAGAGAAATGAGGGGAGTGTAGGGTAGTACATCGGGAAGCAAGCTGATGACTGGTTTGAACGAACGGTTGCATGCAGAATTGATTGTCCAAAATGTTACCCCCCCACCGCACCTAATTAACAATACATTAATTTTTAAAAACAAACTCAGTTCACATTCAAACTTGTTCCCATTGAGACATAAATAAGCCCACTCATTACTTTTGGTTATTATGGCTCTTAAATTTAACTCTTATTTCTGTAATAGGCCTCCTTTCCTTTAATTTCTTATTTTCATGCCTCCAATTTGCTTAAATAATGGAGTCATTTGGCCTGTTGAATGTTCCTCATCCTAGATTTGGCTGGATGTGTGTGTGTGTGTGTGTGTGTGTGTGTGTTAATTTGTTCATCAATCTTTTCGATGTACTTAGATCTGGACAACAAGACCCTTTTGATGTGGTACCTATCAACCTCCACAAGTTGATCTCATGCCACTTGCCACCCCCTCTCTGCCCACTAGCCAGATGCCTCAAAACAAACACAGCATAGAACTTCATAGAACAACTGTTTCCTACAATCCTCTGCCGAGACCTCTCTTCTTTAGAGAAGGAGGACTTCCCTGGCCCTCACATGAAGTTTGACCTCCCTCAATCAACTTTGTATGTCCTCTTTAGTGACATTTATTACACGTATCATCTCTCGTCTACTCTCCCAGGTAGAAAGTGGGAAAGGTTCGTGTTACACCCACAGCTCAGGGTCTAACTTGCCTTGGCACATGGTAAAACCAGTTGTCAGTTGAATCTATCCCAACTTATGTAAAGAAAACAAAAATTTTCACACTTGGACCAATAGACAACAGTATGATAAACAGAGAAAAGACTGAAGTTGTCAAGAATGATATCTCACTTGGACCCACCATCAATGTTCATGGAAGCAGCAGTTGAGATCAAACAAGGAATTGCATTGGGCAAATCTGCTGCGCATGACCGCTTTATAGTATTGAAAAGCAAAGATGTTACTTTGAGGACGAAGGTACAACGAACCCAAGCCATGGTATTTTCGACTGCCTCCTATACGTGTGAAAGTTGGACACTGAATAAGGAAGACTGAAGAAGAATCAATGCATTTGCATATGGTACTGGAGCAGACAATGGGAAGTACCCAGGACTGCTAAAGACCCAAGCTGCCTTAGAAGAAGGAAGCCAGAATGCTGCTTGGAAGTGAGGGAGGTGAGCCTTTGTCTCAAGGACTTAGGACAAGTCAGGAGAGACCGGTCCCTGGAGAAGGACATCATGCTTGGTGAAGTGGAGGAGGGGCGATGAAAAAAAGGAAAGCCCTTGACCCAGATGGATGGACACAGTGGCTGCCACACAGGCTCAAACCTGAGAGCAATGGTGAGGGTGGCGCAGGACCGGCCAGTGTTGCCTTCTGCTGTGCAGAGGGTGGCTGGGAGGCCGAATCAACTCCATGGCATCTAGCAGCAACGTGGCGACCCGATGTGTGTCAGAACTGAGCTGTGCTCCAGATTATTTCCAACAACTGACGCTTTAGAAAGCAGATTGACAGAACTCTCATCTCAGGAACATCTGGGTGCATGAAAGCTCAACCTTTCAGTTGCCCTTTTGCACCACCCAGGATCGCAATACTTGCTGATGCAGTAGCCTCTCCCCTCTTCGTTCTCCCTGCCCTGTCTCCCTTTTCCTTTCAGCCTCACCGTCCACAGCCGCACGGAGGAAGGCAAGAGCCCTGGGGGATGGAGGGAAGACGGAATTCTTCACCCACAGCCACAGCCGCAGCTTTTCTCTCTATTACTGTTGTCTGCTACATAAAAACAGAAGGGATCTCGTTATCTCCAAGTGCTGGGATTACTAAGGATGTGTTTATTTTGTTTAGCTGCACACTGCTCATGTGTCTGCCATGAACATTTCTGTTTCATTTGCAAATTGTCCTCCTGAATAATTCATTTTTGCATTGAATGTTCATAAGGCCTTGTGTTGAACTTTAGAGAGACAACAGGGAAGAAGGGAAAGGTTCACAGTCCCTGCCCCCATGAAGCTTCCAGTTTAGGGCAGAGGCTGGCATACTACAGCCCTCTCGCTAAATCTTCCCAATTTTTTGTCTGGCCTGAAAGAAAGAATCACTTTTACACTTTTTCATCGGTTGGACTGGGAGTGGAATAGAGAATATTCACAATAGGAAAGTTATATGAATTCCAAATGCAGTGGACATACAGGAAGTTATACTGAAAGTGCCATGTCCATTTATTCATCTATTGTCTCTGACTGCTTTCACAGTACAAATGGCAGAGTCTGAGTACAATAGGGGCGACTGAGACCAGACAACCCACAAATTCTAAATATTTTCTATCTGGTTCTTTACAGAAAAAGTTTATCCACTTCTGGTCAGCATGTTTTG